TCGAATACAATCGTTTAACTTGCTGATGTCGCCACCCACGACAATGAGGGGGGGCTTTCTATTCGCAGAACTTCTCGGCTAGGTGGCGCAAGCTATATACATACATATATATATATATATATGTATATATGTATATACCATCTCATGTGCCTGGTACGTCCTGCGAAAAGGCAAACTGGTGCTCGCTGCGGTTGCTCTCAATCGCGTCACGCTGTGTCTCTAAAATCATCATGCCCAGCACTTTCTGGATAACCGAGATCAAGGCAATCGGCCTAATATTGGCGGCCTTACTAGCGTTTGGCACCTTCCGGATCAGCTGGATTACGCGGGGGCCCCAGGACTCGTCGAACAACTCCGAAACATGGTTTTGTAATCTCAGCCGAAACGCCCCCAAGAGTTGCTCCCAGACATCGCCCTCTAAGGCCAGCAGCATCTCTCCAACAATCACGTAGCTCTCGTCGCACGATTTTCTGTTTTTTCAAGCGCCCGATGCACATCTTCAGCAGCTGAAGGCTGAGGGGTCCTCCTGCTGCTGCTCATCCACCGTCCACTGTCTGTGGACCCACTCGGTCAGGTCGCGGTCGCTGGTCTCATCCCGGAAGAAGCTGCTGTAGAACCTGCGGACCTCAGCTCTGCGCGCATCTCCAGCGGTGGCCTCGCCCTCGCTGGTGCCCAGGCTGAACGCGGGGCGGCCGCTCTTGAAAGGCTTCTCCGCCTTCCCTCGGTCGCGCTGGCGCCCCAGATGGACTGCGGCGTATCGTTCCCGCGAGGCGCGCTTCAGCACGCGCGCGGGCGGGCCCAGCAAGTGTCGGACTCTCTGGTCGTCCTCCTGGGCACGCGTTCTCTCCGGGGCCTGGAGCTGCAACAGCTGCGGGTCGCCTGGCGGCGGCCTCCGCCGCCCTCGTCGCGGGGCGTGGCCGGCGGCCGCGGCAGCGCTGCAGCTCGCCGTCGCCGAGGCCCCCAGCGGCGCGACGCCCGCGCGATCGCGGCAGGCGCCCGCGGGCGGCGGCTCAAGGTGGGCCCGCCGCTCGGCGCCAGCGCCCTCCCGCCGCAGGGCCTCCAGGCGACGCTTCCGAACGCGCCGGCAGGCGTTGGAGCGGGCGTCGCTTAAGGCGGCGGTGCTCCTCGGCCCCCCAGTCGTTCGACGGGCACGGGCGCTTCCAGTGCAGGTGGGTCAGGCGATTGTCGCTCCCCACCTTGGCCAGGCGGTCTACCCTCTCGTTGCCGAAGGTCCCGTTGTGGCTCTATACCCATTTGATGATCAGCTCAAAGTGGGGCAGGCACTGCTTCCAGAGGTGGGCGGCCAGCGCGGCGAGCTCGCAGTTCTCCTTCGGCTGGAACACCTCCAGCAGCAGAGTGCGCGCGCAAGTCGAGTCCGGCCGCCTGGGTGCGGGCGCGATCGCGGGCCCACGGCTCTGCCAACTGGCGCTGCCCAAGGAGCCGCAGCAGCGCCTCCACAATAGCGGAAAGCTCGCCAGTGTTCGAGGAGATGCAGCTGGCCCCCGCGAAGCGCGTCGGTCGGCATGGTGGTGGCCTGACCGCAAGCCTCCAGCAGCGGCGCGCCCCTGTCGCTGGGCTCTGCGACGCGGTAGGGAGCGAAGCCCCAACCAGCATCAGAGCATCGATGCAAAGACCCTCCACGTCCTCGGCGCGCGGAGCCGTCCGTGAAGATGCCCATGGCGTTGCTGTAGTCGCCCTCCGTGTGCATCTGGGCATCTGGCGGCGTGTAGCTGATCTGGAGGGGCGCGCAGATCCTGCCGTTGAACTCACGGCTGTCATCAAGTCGCCAGGCAACAGGATTGCGCCGGGGGCCGGTTAAATCATCATCTGGCGCGATCTCTACGCGCCGTCGATCGTTGGGATGGCCTGACCAGCCTGGCAGCGCAAGAGGGTCGGCAGGTGGTCGCTCTCAGAAGCGTCACTGGAGCGGGCCTGGCAGGCAGTCTTGCGCAACCAGTCGCGATGGAGGAGCATGAAGTCGATCTGCTGCGGCCCCTTCCGATTGTCGAAGAAACGCGCGCATTGCCCCCGCTGTCCCTTGCAGAAAGTGTTCGCGGAAATCGAATCAGCTCCGTCATCAAATCATGTAGCACTTCTCCTCGCCAGGTCATCTCAGAAGCTGAGAAAGGGCCGTCTGTATCTCCGTCTGTTATCCCAACGACCATCCTGGGCGTCGGCACTGACAATGGCGCGGCAAACAACTGGCATGGAAACCGAACGCTCTCGAAGCTGCTCGATAGTCTCTGTGCACTCACATCGTACAATACGCGAAAAAAATGATTCGTGATCGCGCGATTGCGGCCCCAGACGTCGAGCTGTAAATCCAAGTACATGGCGCGCCCGTGACACTGAGGCTCGCCTACGACCGGAGGTCCAAGCGATTCATGAACTGCTATCTATCGCGCACCGTTGCCAAGCCCCCGCTGGGGGCGCTACGTGCACGACATAGCGGTCGTAGGACTGCTCAGCGCCACCAGAAACGCACCATTCTTGAAAAAGGATAAATTATATGGTGCGAGTTCGCTTGCAAGAGTATCGAGCACGTGTTGGCGCTGTCTAGCAAGGACACCTCTCGCATTCCACCCAAGAACTGTGAGATCCCTGATGTCCTTAGCATAGCCCTTCCCACGTACTCGATATCATTGTGCCCTCGGTGGGTCGTTGATCTCGCCGAGCCTGTCCTGAAGCTTCATCTCACTTAGCTCCTGGTTCAGTAAGGCGAGCGTCATTGGGTCCTGGCAGATCTCGAGCAAGTCCGTGTTCCGCGCGCGCAGCAGCAGCCTGAGAGAGGGCGCCCTAAGCTATTCTTGCGGTAGATCACCTGGCCCGGTCTCCATCGAAGGTGCGCATCTTGTTCTCTTCCGTGCACAGCCCGTTTGCCACGCCGAACTCCCCGAGGATGCGCACCGCGAAGCTCACCTTGCGGCTGATATCCACCTCATGGGGCTCCTGGTCTACCTTGTGCCATAACATACTGTTACGGGCGCCCTGGCAAGGAATCTTCTGTCCCTTGTCGTTGTCCGCGAAGACTACTTTGGCCTGATCACAGAACCTGCCCACCCCGTAGATCTCTCTGATGCCCTGGCTCTCCAAGGAAGAAGACTTGGCCAGCTCCGTCGTCAGGTGTCGCTCAACATCCTCCTTGTCCCAGGTGCCTGGGAAATCCGCCACGAAAACCACGTGCTTGGCGTTTTTGCCCAATCGTTGCGGGCGGTTGGCTGGTGGTGGCGGGCCTCCTACGCCGTCACGCTGCTGCTGCAGGTACGCGCTCCAGGGGTCCGCCATCGAGGGAGCACCACCTAAGCCTGGACGGGAAGCTGCTGTGATCGCCGCCGAGGAGGCCCTGCCCGTTTCGATCGCCTCCAGCCCCGCCTCCTGCGACCTGAGCCTCGCCTGGATACTCGCAATGTCCCGCGCACTCGCCTCCGAGGTCTTCTTGAGACTGGTCACGCTGGATTCTATGCTCTGGACGCGACTGCCCGTCGAGACCTCCAGTGAACTGATGATGTATCTCGCCAAGCCCATCTGCGCGGGATCCTCGGGCGGTGGCGGGCGAGGGCCTGGAGCGGCAACCTGGGCTGTTCCTGGCGCAGCCGCCTCCGCACCGAGGGCCATACCGTCGTCCGTGACGGAGTCGCCGTCGATCGGGTCGTGCTTCACTGCCTGGGCTGCAACACGTCGACGCTGGTCGCGCTCCCAGGCCCCAACTGGCGCCTCCGCCGCTGCCGTCGCGTCTCTCAGAGCGGGCACGGGGGCCTGGAGCGGGACGGCAGCCATCCCCGTCCGCTGCAAAATGCGCGCAGGATAGCTCTTCCTAGAGTCGAGTTCGAAGTCTTGCTGCACGCGAGAGACGGGTGTCTCAAGCCAGGCAAGGCAGCCTGGCCAGGACGTGAGGTCTCCAGCGCTCCCTGGGTTCCGTCTTGACCCAAAACAACGACGACGGCGACGGCGACGAGGACGAGCACGAGGATGGGACGAGGACGAGAACGACGACTGTGACGGAGGTGGAGACGACGGCGGTGACGTCGACGACGGGCCCAAGCATCAACGACGGCGACGAGGGCGGCGACGGGCCCTTCCAGAAGGTTCAGAAGGCGCCCAGCCCTCTGAGAAGCCTTCGGAGCCTGCTCTGGAGCCGCAGGGGGGGCCTTCGGAGAGGTCCAGCCACCCTCCGAGAAGGCTTGCCACCTCTCACTGTTCAGACGAAGCCACGACGAGGCTGGAATCGGGTGAGGATCAATCGAGTTTCTCTGAGATCCTTCAGCCCTGGAGGATGTACCTGGCGCCGCGGGCTCCTTAGAGCGTTCCGAAAACGCTCTAGGAGCGTTCTGGAACGCTCTGGAAAGGATCTATCCTCGTCCTAGCCCCGTACGAAGAGGCCGTCGGAGCCTGTTCTGGAGCCGCATGGGGGCCTTCGTAGACGGGCTGGCCTCCGATTTGTTCGATGCATGGGCCCCAGAAGTCTGGACCACTCCCCTGAGACCGGTTGTTCGTCCTGAATTGTTTCCTGACGGTCCCGAGGCCCGTCAAAAAAAGACTCAAAGACGAACAACTGGCCCTGGGGAAGTGGTCCAGACCTCCGGGGCCCATGTATCGAAAACATTGGAGCGGCTGGATGTTTATGTTTTGTTGTGCCACGAGAAGAAGCGGGGGCCAGAATTCCGACCCCGTGGCGTCCCTCCTTCTTTCCACCGCCGACATCCGCCAACTTGATTTGTTCAGTGCACGGAAAAGTCCAGACCCCCCTGGATCAGTCTTTTGATGATCCTGGGGCTTGATCGCAGGCCCCAAGCCCCGGGGCCAAATCTACGAAAAACGCCCGGACTAATTAAGAACATCAGATCTTAGCATGGGGGAAACGGGTCCTGAGAGAAACGGGCCCTGGACCCTGGCGCTTTCCCCCAGGACGGGCTCTTCATCCCGAGTCGTCTTCTGACAGTCCTGGGGCCCGTGGAGGGCCCCGAGAGCCCAGAAACGGCGAAAGACCTGCTTCCCTCGGGACCCGCTTCTCGGGTCGGGCGACAGGGGGGGATAGCAAAGGGGGGGGGTGAGAATCAGCCCACGTAACTGATTTTCCCGGCGCCTCCCGGCGCCGGGAGGCGCCCATGTATCAGGGAATGGGCCCCTCGGCGAGGCCGAAACCAGCTGCATGCAGCAAATTTCGTACCCCCCTCTTTCCCAATCCCCCCCTTTCGTCCAGTCCGAGCTTCCCCTCTGGCGAAGAACCTCGGAGATCTGACCCCCCCCCGGGCAGCGCCGGAGTCTTCGAGCTCCGCCAGGGTCGCGGTGCTGTTGACGCGCAGCGAAGGAGGCCGCCTTGCCGCGCGTGGTTCGGCGAGGGGCGAAGAGAGGAAAGGGGAGGAGGAGGAGGAGGAGGAGGAGGAGGAGGAGGAGGAGGAGGAGGAGGCGGAGGAGGCGGAGGAGAGAGGATGAAGAGGAGGCGGAGGAGGATGATGAGGAGCAGGAAGAGGAGGAGGCGGGAGGAGGAGGGGGAAGAGGAGAAGGAGGAGGAGGAGGAGAAGGAGGTAGGAGGAGGAGGCAGAGGAGGAGAATGGAGGAGGAGGAAGGATCAAGAGGAGGAGCGGAGGAGGATGAGGAGCGAGCAGGAGGAGGAGGGGGAGGCGGGAAGGAGGAGGTGAGGATGGGGAGGAGGAGGAAGAGGAAGAGCAGAAGGAGGAGGAGGAGGAAGAGGAGGAGTAGGCAGATGAGGAGGAGGAGGAGGAAGAGGACGAGGAGGAGGAGCTGAGCCGAGCCGAGCTGAGCTGAACTGAATCTCATGGAGTACCTGTTTAGTTCGGATGACGAGCTGACCACCAGAAATCGAGCACAGTCGGAAACCCTGCTACCCACGATGCGAGCCCTCAAGAGGCTCTCAGCACAGAGTGCACTGGCCGACTGGCGCACTTATGGGCGCGCAACTCTCCGAGAGGGCCCAGCTCTCTGGCACGACGTCCCCTTCGCGTGGATCAGGAGGAGGAGGAGGAGGAGGGGAAGGAGGAGGAGGAGGAGGAGGAGGAGGAGGAGGAGTAGGAGTAGGAGGAGGAGGAGGAGGAGGGAAGGAGGAGAGGAGGAGGAGGAGGAGGAGGAGGAGGAGAAGGAGGAGGAGGAGGAGAAGGAGGAGGAAGAGAAGTTTCTCAAAGCGCGGCTGACAGCGTGCGCCGCAGGCGGGCGACGCTGGCAGACTCGGGCACAGGCCCGAAAGGGGGAAAGCCCCGAACACCTCCCAAGAAGGAGTCCCACGGGGAGGGATGGGACAGGAAGCTAGTCCCTGCCGACGTGTTCGTCCTCCACGACGACTAAGAGGAGGACGCTTCGCGCGCTACGAAAAAAGGGCTGCAGTCGGACCTGGGCCAGAAGAGCCTCCTTCAAGAGCGCGAGACCCTCCGCCGGCCAAAATTCACAGAACAGCTAGAGGCCTCCTAGATGGGGTCGGAGTAGATGGGGTCGGATGATCGCGCCGCATCGCCGAGGCATCGGCAATTCATGGGGAATGCACCAGCGACGCATCGTCGACGGCGGCGATGCATCGGCGACGTCGACGTGAAGCAAATTGGGCTCCGCATCGAGCCGCATCGGCGATGCAGCGGCGATGCGGCGCGACTCTCCGACCCCATCTACTCCGACCCCATCCAGCAGGCCTGGACCAGCCAAGGGTACCCTCCCCAGGATGCAGAAGAACGCCCCCCAAAACACGAAGAGCATCAGGGTACCCTGGCTCCTGATCCGCCGTACTTTGGATGATTTTCCGACCTAAAATTGTGTCGGAAATCGACGCCAAAGGAGCCTCAAGGGCGGAAATCGACGCTCAAAGGGGCCTCAAAAGTAGGGCGGAAATTTCCGCCCTACTTTCGAAATCGCCCAAAGTAGGGCGGATCAGGAGTCAGGGTACCCTCCCCAAACCGACCTCGACCTTATACCCAGGTCCGACTGCTGCGCCGATCCGAACAATCCAATCTGCGCGCTCGGACCTAGGCCAGAAAGAGGCCCTTCAAGAACGCTGGACCGGCCAGGACACACAGAACAGCCAAGGGCACCCTCCCCAACAGGCACGAAGAGCATCAGGGTACCCTCCCCGAACCGATCTCGATCTTCTACCTCGGTCCGCCTCCGAATTTGGTTTTTGGGTCAAAACTCGGGTCTCAGGCGGCCGTTCGTGACGATCCTGGCACGCCCGGAACGCTCTCGGCGAGGCGCAACTGCTGGAACGCATCCCGAAGCTGGAAAACCGCCGAGAACCTACGAACACGCCCGAAAACCTCGAACCCGAAAGCCTCGAACCTCGAACCTCTGGGAACCCTCCCCGAACCCACCTCGATCTTAGACCTCGGTCCGACTGTCGCGCCGATCCGAGCCATCTCACACGGTCGGCCTTGATTGGACAGGACACGCGAGAGGACACATGACCCTTCCGAGTGCCACATCGCCATAGGAGTGTAAGAAGGCACGCGTCGCGAGGCACAGGGACACGAGGGTACCCTTGAGCTGGCAGGGTCGACCTGCTAATCCGGGCCGACGGTGTCTCATCTGCGCGCAGGGTACCTTCCCCAGGGCGCGAGCGGGGGGCACGAGGGTCCGGGGCCCACCTCCGGGGCCCCAGCTCTGGCCGGCCGACGCGCCGATCGCCGCGCCCCAAGCTGGCGCTACCCTGACTGATTGTTCTGCCTGCAGCGCCAATGACGTGTCCATGCCGTTCGTACGCTTCTTCTTCTTCTTCTGATTACAATTCTTATTATCATCATTACTCTTTTTGTGCTTATCATGAATATCAACCGTATGTTTCTATGTGTTCTTATTTGTCGTACCCTTCGTTGTTGTTAGTATTACGACTGTTCTGCTTTGTTCTGATTGCTATTATTATCAGTCGTGTGATTATGATGGGCACGATTAGCAGCATTCGCATTATTACTGTTATTATTAGCATCCTCGTTCTTGGTAGAATTAGTACGACTATGCATAGAATGATTATCGCGATCCTTATTATTAAGTCGTTTTTTTAGCATTGCTATTATTATTCACATGTTCTTCTCCTCCGAACGAAAACATAGCTGCACTGACATAATGTCGCGGAAGTCCGAACGGACTTCTGGGATCGGCGCCGAACTCCCTCCCTTGCGAGCGGAGCGAGCCACGGGCGGCGCCGGAGGCGCAGCCAAGGGGGCCCCGCGCCGATCCAGGACATCCGCGCGGATGTCCGAGAAATCATGCCTATGCCATTTTTTTTTTTGACATCCCAAGAACGTCGAACCACCATTCGCCTCTTCGCGCCAGAGTGGGCCCTACCTCGGCGGGAAAGCGGGGAAGCTGGACTGCAGATTTCCGCGTCCACTCCGTCGTCGACACAACAAGGTGAGCAGGACAGTGTAGCGCCACGCGAAGAGGAGGAGGGGGAGGAGGAGGGCTTATGCCATTATTTGTTATTTGTTTCTTCTTCGACGAACCCAGGCCCTGCACGTCATGCTTTTCTCACACCGTCGACCCGCACGATCTCGACCCCGTCCCCAGGACCAGCTCTTCGTTCGCTCCGAGCCTTTTTGTTGACGGTGCCGGGGCCCGGTGAGTTGCCCCCAGAGGACGAAAATATCAAGGACCTCCCGATATGGTTTATTGTTTGTCACGGCTTGAGGGGGTCTGACTTTCGGATCATAACTCGGGTCTCCAGCGGCCCTTCGGCACGATCCCGTCACCCCTGGAACGCTCTCGGCGAGGCGCAGCTGCTGGAGAGCACCCCGAGGCCTGGCAAGCCGCCGAGAACAGACGAGAAGCCCACAAGCCTCGAGCCCATCCCGCCCTGTGCCCGTCCCCAACTAACGTTGTCCTTGAGAGGAGGGGCAAACCCAAACACGCGACGTCACGATATCTTTCAGCACGGCGCCTCAAGAGATCCTGGCCCTTTCCACGGGACGATTCTCGAGTCGTTTCTTGACGGCCCCGGGGTCATTTCTAGAGTCGTTTTCTTTTCATCCTGAGTCGTTCCTTGATTCGTTCCTTGACGTTTCTTGAGTCGTTTCTTGAATCGTTTCTTTTCATCCTGAGTCGTTTCTTGACGGCCCCGAAGCCCGCCGAGGGCCTCCAGAGGCCGAAAACGAGGAACAACCTCCGTCTTGATTTTTTCTTGACCAGCGCGTTCCACTGCTCGCAGAGTAGCCGCTCGCAAAAGGCCTGGATCCATTGCATCGAGTCCCACAGGCTCCCCTGCATCGAGGCAAACGTTTGGTTTTTGGACGCTTGCGAGTAGGCACTTTCTGTGAGTCGTGGAACGCGCTCGGTGATTTTTGACGCGGTCATGTCGGTAGAAGCAAAGAACGACATAAACATACACTTTTCGCGCTCAGCCCGGATTTCTTGGATCCGCTCTGGGCCCCCCTCCCTGGCGCGCGGAGCGCGCTAGGGGCGGCGACAGAGGGGCCGCCTGGGGGGTCCCAGCGCGGATCCAAGAAATCCGCGCGGAGCGCCCAAAAGTTTATGTTTATGCCGTTGTTCCTTCTTCGGTGGTACACGCTCGGTGATTTTCGACGCGATCATGTGCGAGAAACCCAGACCCCCAGCGTCGTGATTTTTTCACAACGTCGACCCCCAGAGGTCTGGACATCTGCCCTGGGGCCGGTTCTTCATCCTGAGTCATCTTTTGACAATCCCGGGGCCCTCGAAGGGCCCCCAGAAGCCGAATTTCGCGAAAAACCTACCGTTTTTTTTGTTTTCCACACAGCGCGAACGGGTCTGGGAAGCAGGATGAATGGCACTTTCTGTGAGTCATGGAACGCGCTCGGTGATTCTCGACGCGCTCATTCGGCTGCACGTACGAGTGACCCTTGGCAAGAGTGACCTCTGGTGCGCAGCTTGCGGGGGCGGAAGGGGGGGGGGGACGGGGGCAAATCCACGCGCGCAGGCCAGTGCTGTCGCATCGCATCGCGTTCAGCGATCAGGGCGGGCCCAGTGGGCCCGCACCAAAGGTCACTCCGGCGAAGGGCCACTCTCCCAGACCTGCGACGTCCTGATTTTT